CTGCTTGAAGAATTGTCAGAGTAAAACTTTTATGATTATTTTGACTTTTCCTTTCTAGATCAAGAAATTCTTTGAAAGTGCACAGACAGCCAAACTCTCTTCCTGTCTGGGAGTTCCTAAAAAGCTGTTTAGAAAAGGGACAAGAGCAATTTGTTGATCAAAGCACCACTCTGTCAATAGCTGTTTGGCCCTAGATAGGCAAAAGGAGAACCTTGTTAAAGGAGGAGGGTGAATTTATGACTGAGGCATAAGGGCTAAGCACACCTCTAGTGAACACATTAAAATTTGTGGCTCCATATGCGAAGGTTCATTGTGAAAAGCAAGGTTTTATGAAAAGGCAGACTGAGCCCATCTACCTACTCAGGTGCACCAAATGGAAGAGAAGCTTCTGCTTGTGTCTCTATACCCCATGCAGATCAGAAACAGGATGTGTAGGGGCAGGCATTTGGCCCAGAGGCTAAGATACCAGTAAAGACTTTCACATCCCATACTGGAATGCTTGGATTCAATACCTGTTTCCAGCACCTGACTCCAGCTGCCTGCTAATGCAGACCCTGGGAGGCAGCAGGTGATGGCTCAAGTGCTTTGGTCTCTGACATGGGAAACCTGAACTGACTTCGGCCTGACCCAGCCCCTGCTTGTTGTGATCATTTGGGGAGTGAACCAGCAGATAAGGGTTCTCTCTATGTGCCTGTTTCTCTCTCTCTCTCTCTCTCTCTCTCTCTCTCTCTCTCTCTCTCTCTCGTCTCTCTCTCTCTCTGGAAGGAAGGAGGGAGGGGAGGGGAGGGGAGGGGAGGGGAGGGGAGGGGAGAGGAGGGGAGGACATGGCAGCAGAGCATGGAGTCTGAGCCTGATTTTAAGAGGCCAATCAACATTCTGGGACCCATTCCTTGTCTATGGCTTTGCCCTATTGCAACATTTAATGCACTTTCTTGGGTGTTAGGATAACCGAGAGCTGGGAATAAAAGGGGCAAGAATAGGCCAGGCACAGGTGGCAACCAAAGATTTTCCTTTGACACACCTATGCTGCCCCCATCACTTTTCAGACCTTACAATCCGACCTTTGGTTTTTGGCTGATGGACTCTCCATGTCACATGCTGCTGTGGTGGACTCCATGGAAAACCTGCAAAATTTCACATCTCCTATCCTCACCAGTAAACTCCTTAACACAGTTATTTGGAATAATATTGCCACTCATTGCCATTGGAACAGAAAAGCTCTCCATGCTTCCCTCAATCCCTTTGGCCTGGCTCCTACTTGCTGTCCTCCAGGAGCCCTTCTGTTGCAGTTCCTGCTGAGCTGAACAAGAGACACACATGTCAGCTTCACAGCTTAAACAGAGGGCTGCAGGGAAGGAAAACAGCTGAGCCAGCAGGAAGCAGAAACAGAGGGGGAGGTGTCAAGATAGCTGCTTTGTCATGCAGTGTAGTAAATAAACACACAGCCTTTCCTAAAGCCAGGAGGCTCTTTCACAGGAGGAGCAGCCGGCCCCTGCTTCAAGCTTGGCCCAGGGTTTGCTTGATCCTTCATTTGTCAGGAATTTTTGAAATTTTGGGAAAGTCAAACACACCTGTTCTCATCCTTAGGCTCGTTCTCAAAAAGAAATAAAGCTGAGAATCATGAAAACACTGGCAAAGTGGCATAGTTGGTAAAGCCGCCACCTGTGGCATCCCAATTGGGCACTGGTTCGAGTCCTAGCTGCTCCACTTCAGATCCAGCTCCCTGCTAATGGCCTGGGAAAAGCAGTGAAGATGGTCCAAGTGTTTACACCCCTGCCACTTATGTGGGAGACCTGGAAGAAGCTCCTTGTTCCTGGCTTCAGCTTGGCACAGCCCTGACCATTGTGGCCATTTTGGGAATCTGGGGGGTAAACCAAAGGATGGAAGATCTGTCTCTCTCCATTTCTCCTTCTCGCTCTGTAATTCTGACTTTCAAATAAAAATATTTAAAACTAACACAATGCATGTAGGGATCACAAAAATATGTACAAAATGTCACCATTGACCAGCAAGATACAAACGGATACCAAATCACAATTTCAATTATAATTTCTCAGCTCAGTCCTATCTACACTGTTCATCTTGGCCCTCAAAGCCCCCACTTTCCCCTCCACCTTAATCTCTTTCTCTCCTATCTTGCTCTTATTCTTTGATCTGACTGATTAGAAAAGAAAAAAATATACTGAGCATGAGCACATGATGTGCTTGGAACTGTGGTAGGCATTGATTTGTTTATTCATCACAATGCTCCTGAGAGCTCCAGTTTTTAAAAAGAAACTGAGGCTGACACATTTTAATTTGGAATAAATTCTGGCCACCTTAGAATGGGTCTGTACAGTGGCCAGTGCTGTGGCGTAGTAGGTTAAGCCTCTGCCTTTGGCACCAGCATCCCATATGGGCATGGGTTAGTGTTCTGGCTGCTCCTTTTCCTATCCAGCTCCTTGCTAATGGCCTAGGAAAGCAGTGGAAGATGGTCCAAGTGCTTGGGCCCCTGCACCACATGGGAGACTCGGAAGAAGCTTCTGGCTCCTGGCTTCGGATCAGCCCAGATTGAGCTGCTGTGACCATTTGGGGAGTGAACCAGCTGATGGAAGACCTCGCTCTCTCCCTCCCCCCCCCCTTTCTCTGTTACTCTGAATCTGAAATAAATAAATAAAAACCTTTAAAAAGTGAAGGGGTCTATGCAGCTCCACAGGCTCCGGTTACTGACTACCTTGCAGCCCTTGTTTCTGTCACCTCCTATGGCTCTTTTCTTCACTGCTGGACTTCAGTCAAATTAACTTCTGCTACCTTTGATGAGGCTAACCCTAGGGTGTTGGCATTTGCACTTTGTCAAAGATTGGCATTCACAGCTGGTTCCTTCTTGCCATCCATTTCTCGGCTTGAATCTTTCACCTCCTGAGAATGATCTCCTCCAACATCAACTCAATGTATGTAACGTCCCTCAGAGTGACTCCCGGCTGTGGCCATCCATGTGCATCAAGCAAATCACTGACTGCCTCCTACTGCCCCATTGGCTTCACTGCTGTGTTCACACCTAGGCCTGAGGCCACCCTTGTCAAAGACTGCCCCCAGCCCAAGACTGCGCAATTATCTCTATTAGAACTAGACTGAGGTTGTTTCTCTACTGTCCAATGCAGGACTCCTCCTCCAATGAACAACATCTACCAGGGAGGTGGGAGTGGGCAGCAGTCCCCACAGGCTTAGCCAAAACCTTCTTGGAGTTGCACCACAGTCTGAGGTTCTTTCTATATAAGACAGCTTCTTTCCTTCTCTCCTTCCTCAGGTGTCAGAGTGGCCTCTCCTTTGAAGTCTCTCCTCATCTTCTCCCAGTCATTTTCTTCTGGCTCCTTCACAGGCAGTTCCCCCCAGTAAATCAGAATCCTGTCTCATTCTGTCTTGACATCTGCTTCTCAGAAAATCTGAACTGGTGCACTCTGTCATAAAACTCACTGTTTCATTATATTCATTGCTCGTACAACTATTTTCACTTTATCCCTCCTAATTGATCTACTTACATATGTATTCAACATCTCCCTCCTACCACTGCTGCCAACCCCACCTCACTATAAGCTGTCTTATTCACTAGTTTATTCCCAGGACTAATGCTAGCACCAACTCGTGATAGGGCTTAATTAATATTGTTGAATGAATTAATCAATGAATTTAGAAAACTAGATTTATACTCTTACTGCAGCTCCTCTTCTTCACTCATATACTATGCATATCACTATTCTATGTATCATATATAAAATAGCAAACGAGGCAAAGTCTCTGCTGTGTTGAATTTATTTTAAAGAGAGGAAAGATGAGCAATAAACACAAAATGTAACATATATGCTGCCTGATAAGAGTTACAGAGAAATTACAGGAATAAAAGATGATGAGTGAGTGGTTACAGTATATACAAATCTGATAAGGTGACATTTCAAACAGAGATCTGAGTGAAATGCAGGAGTGAGTCAAACAGTTATCTGGATGAAGAGTGTTCTAAGAAGGCAGAATGTTAACTGCAGAAGCCCAATGACAGAGTGCGTCTCGCAAGTTCAAGGAATAACCTAGATGTCAATGAGATTGAGCCACAGAAAGCATAAAAGATAGTGGTAGGAAATAATGTGGGAGAAAAAGGAGGACTTGATGAAGCAGGTAAATCCCAGTATGACAGATATCACAAGAACTTCCCAGAGGATTTCCTTCTAAGTAAGATGCAAAACAAATGGGTAGTTCTTACTTACATTTTAAAAGGATGAACCAGGTTACTAGTTTGAAAATATTAAGGGATAAAGGGAGAAGAAGAGGAATCAGAAAGCAGGGCATTAAAACATTCCACAGACATCTTGAAGTAGGCTATATAGTTGAGAAGGTGATGTTTTGACAAATTCTGGACACTTGAGAAGACAGAGTTAATGGCACCTTTTGATAGACTGAGTATTCATATAAGGGGAAGGAAGGAATCAAGGATGATGCTAAGATTTTGATAATAAACAATAAATTATTAATAAATAGAAGGGTGGAGTTGGTGGTTACTAGGCATTCTCTGGTTAAACTCAGCTGTGCAGGTGCAGACACAGGTAGATTTTCAGGCTTTTCCTGTTGAATACAGGGTGAAGATATTTTGAGGTTATATGCAAGGAGATGATTATCTTGATGAAAGATGGACTACAAGCTAAGTGAGATAAATCAGCACCTGACAAGGTTAAAGGGATGGAAAAAGGCAAGTAGTCAATAGATATAAGGTCTTGGTAGGATTTAAGAATTGATGGTGATGCAGTCACAGAAGGAGTGAGATAGAATCAGAAATTGAGTTATCTGTGATCTTTCCTTTGTACCAAAACAATCTCCTTTTCTCCTCATGCATAATACTGGAAAAAACTCAAGACTAAAGGGAAACAACAAATCTCACATACCTCTTCATCTACCCTCCGCTGTGTTTCCCACTCTCCATGGTTCAAATCCCCAAGTCTGCTCACTCAGTGTCTGCATTCTCAGTGCTTACTTACCCCTCATCCCACATGGTAAAGCTTCCATCCCTAGTAGTATAGCAAAGCATTTCGCTACATTTCCCAACAGTCTCCTCCTGTTGAAACAATAGAGTCACAACAATTCAGAATGACTGGCATTTTGCAGATGATCTAATTGAACACATATATATTTATACATAGGGATACTGTAATTAGAGGTTAAAGCCCTTTCAAAGACAGATATGCAGTTGAATGTAGAATTTTGAATTGTTCTTAGATTATTACTAGCCTGGAGCTTCTTCCACTGTACCAGTACCACTAGTTGCCTGGTGACCTTTGCTTGAGACATTTGAAATCACCTATCTCTCATTTTTTTCTTAAACCTCTCCCATCCCCCTCCTTTTTTAAATTTATGTGCTACAATAGTCTTCACTGTCCCCTGACCTCATCCAGAATGGTCTCAAAAGACACTTCAGCAGGAAATTAGGTGTTCCAATAGTGTTCGCCAAATATTTCTGAGAGTCCTCCCAGGTGCGGTCACACTCACTTGTGCTCCCAGACCAGTCTGTTGGTTGAAGTCACTGCCTAAGCACTGTCCCTACCCCTGCCCCAGGCTCCTTCTCTTTCATTGCCATTGTCTTTTAAGGTACTGGAGGGAAACAGAGTGTTGCCAAGGGTGCAGTGTCCACCAGGAGAACTCGTGTCCATACTGGAAGAGCTTTCTCTAGATACCAGCAGTCCAATAATGCTCAGGTGCCTGAGGTGGTATAATCCATGCAGAGATGTTGCCTGTACCTGATCTCTGTACCAAGACACCAAAACTCACATACTCCGAAAGTATGGTTTGTTTCAGAATCTCTCAGAAGTAACTCAATGGGCTTTTGCTTACAATCTTTGACCAGAATCCTACAAATCTTCAATAAAAAGGGTTTTGGTTTGGCACCTTTATACACCTTACTATACAAATGCTATTCCCGTCTATGCTACTAAATTTTTCTAGCATCTACTCAAACAAAACTCTTTCCTTCTTATTTGGAAAGCAAAACCTTCAATGCAAATAATGGAGAGCTGTCTACATGCCACATCTACTACCAAATCAGCAAGCATGAACACACACTGCTCTTCTGATCTTTCTCTCTTATACTTCCACTACACATGCACACACACACACATGTTTTTCCTGATTCTGTATTCTGCCATGCTCCTCCTAATTCTCACAATAATCTATGAAAACACCAAACCAACACATCTCACGTTAACTTTCCTTTCCCACTTTAGCTTGTGTAAATAGCTTGTCTGATGGGTGGCAGGATGAGTAGGCAAAGTGTTAGAGGCTAGAAGGAGTTCCCAAGTGTTAATCTCAATTCTGACAGTAATCTGCTTTGATGTCTGAATAATATAGAATGTGGTGGCTTAGAGAGATCCTAAAGATTCACAAAGCTCTAAAATGTGCACAATATGTGACTATCCAGTCCACATGTCTACATCTTCATCAAGAATGAATTTTTGTGGTTGTCCATTTTCTTTTGAAGGAACTGTACATCGTTTTTTCCCTCACACCAAAGTGAAATTGTTCTTGCTGTCATGTTCTTTCAATACTTCTAAGTCTACCACCGTGGAGCCAGATAGAAAATGTCTATTCTTGGTGATTTATGACATCTCTTCAGTCATTTGGAAATAGCTATCATGTCACATTGTATCTTCTCAGTCCTACATTAAATGTCCCCATTTTCCTTAACTATTGCTTACGGCACAACTGAAGTTGATTTAAGAAATGATGCTCTCAGCTGAAGGTGTTCCTATTTGTCTTACCAAATGTCTGCGTTTTAACACATAATAGTCAATATTATTCAGAAACAAAAAGAAATGAAGTACTGATACATGCTACAACTTGGATAAAGCCTTGAAAATTTTATGCTACATGAAAGAAGCCTGTTACAAAAGACTGGACTAAATGATTCCCTTTATACGAAGTTTTAGAATAGACAAATCTAAGGAGCCTAGTGGTTGTCCAGCACTAGAGGGTGGAACGGAATGGGGGATAATGGTTAAGGATGCAGGATTTCTTTTGAGAGTGATAGAAAATCTTCACAATTGATTGTGGTCATGGCTCACAACTTTGTGAATATACTAAAAACCATTGAAATGTACTCTTTAAATGAGTAAATTCCATGGTATGTGATTAGCAGCTCAATAAATTTGCTAATACCAACACACAATGTTCACAAGGGAAAACAGTATTCTGAAGTGGAGTGCTTGAATCTCTGTAACTTCAACTTCACTCTCTCTAAAATACATGAATTATCAATATCTGCTCCACTTCCCTGACTAGGTTGTTGAATCATATTTTGCAACACCATAATTATGTAAGTTATTACCATGAGTGATTCTCACCAGCTCCTATCGGGCTGACTAACAACATCCACTTGTTGGTAACTCATTTGTTTTACACATGAGGCAAGAGATTTTGTTCTCAAACCTCTCTTACCCAACTCAGGAAAATCTAAGTGATCCCTAGTGTCCTCTGTATGAATCCAACTCATTGCCTTAATATTTAACCCAATCTTCTTTGTTCCACATATCCTATAGTTCTTCACAGGCAAACTACATTTCAGTTGCAAAACAATTGCTATCTCCTACATGGACTTTGCATACACCAATCCATAGCTTCTTAGTTCTTTCAAACAAAATAGATCCTCATATCAAAATTCACATGTTGAATCCTAACCCTTAGTAGAGGTGGGGTCTTTGGCAAGTTGTTAGGTTTACATGAGGTCCTGCAAGTGAGGCCCTTATGATGAGATTAGTAATTTTCTTTTACTTTTATCTAGTAAAGAGATTAGTCATTTTACAAGAAGAGAGAGACCACAGCACACACTCTACCCCCTTTTCATCATGTGAAGACATTACAAGGAAGTGGCCACCCACAAGCCAAGAAAAGCAGGAAGAGAGCCCTGACTAAAAGAACTCTGTCATCTGTCACCTTAATTTTAGTATTCTTGGCTTCCAGAAACATAGGGTATATATTTCCACTGGTTAGCTCTCTAGTATATGGGATTTTGTTATGGCAGCCATACTAATACATACTTCTTGCAACTCCCTGCCAATACCCTGGCATTACTTCTTTCAAAAGACTTTTCAGAACCTGCTTCTCTTGAGACTCTCCTCCATATCCACCGATCACTCTGCTGCTCATTACATCACAGAAATTTTGCTTAATGTAAAGCTAATTTGTGGTTGTTTTTATTCTGTGTATTACATTTTCACTCTTTGCCTATTAGGCAAGCTTTGTAAACGAAAGGGATAAAGTGAACAATCCTATTAAACACCCATTTCTCCCAAACACGTTTTCTGGTTGTTTCCACCAGTACTCAGCATCCTTTTTGGTGGAAACTGTGGCCCATATTCTATAATGGCTTGAAAGCAGCTAATAGAAAAGACTCACAATAACAGGTAATCCAAAACAGCTAAAAAACAAACACTGTGTTGAAAGTTGATTGTGTTATGTTGAAATCCAGAGTTCTTACTGAACATTAATATTTAGAGCAGCAAGAATTACAAAGCACAATTAAAGACTGCTCCTTTTTGTCGATATATCATCAAAGGCCACAGGAAAACTAGAGGCAGTTCTGGAAATTGCATCTCCTGAGCCCAAGGGTTGCACTATCAGGGAAGAGACAATCTCTGCCAGCTCACAAATTTGGGTTAAATGACTCACCCTAAAGACCTTGCTTGGATCATCAGCTCAGCCTCACCTTCCTGGACAGTTTCTCAAAGGGTTTTTAGGTAATAAGATTTCCACATGGAAACCAAAATGCCAGTCCCTTAGTTTTAATATATCAAAGACATCTTTTTCCACAAGTTCCACCTTCTTCATCTTTAAAGATTTATTCAGAGAGAGAGAATCTATCTTCCATCTGCTGGTTCACTTCCCAGCAGCAGCACTGGACCAGAATGAGGCCAGGAGCCAGGAGCCTCATTACGGTTTTTCACGCGGGAGCAGGGGCTCAAGCAGTTGGGCCACCTTCCGCTGCTTTCCCAGGCACATTAGCGTGGAGCTGGATCGGAAGTGGAGTAGCCTTGATTCCAGCCGGCACCCATGTGGGATGCCGCTGTCACAGGCATCCACTCTACCCTCCACACCACACTCCTAGACCCATCTCCCGTGCAGCCAACATTTGCTGTGGTCCTCGCTGTTCATTAGGGACAGTCGTGGAGCCACTGCCAAGGGACAACCAGTCCTCAAAGCTGTGCTGGGCGTCAGGCCCGGGCGCAGTTCACTTCCACCTCAGGGGCTCACCTCCACCCGCTGAGTTAGACCCTTGGCGTGCTCAACCACCATTCTTTTTTTTTTTGCTCTCGTCTAAAATATACTCTTTGATTTCCCAGGCTCCCTGTTCTCAGACTATGAAGGAATCTCTCACTAGGTAATTGTGAACAGAAAAGGGAGAAAGGAGTGGACGGAGGAGGACGCTGACCTAACTGCCCCGTCCCACGCCCTTCCCCCACTCTTGCGTTTTCCCACCCCGGGCCTGGCACCCTCCTCAGTCCCCCGCGTTCCTGGGGTCGCGGGAGCCCGGAACGCCCGCCCACAGATGTTTGCGTTCGGAAAGCCCTGGCTCTGTGGCCGCGTCGGCCCGGCTGTGGTCGCTCACCCGGAACGGTAGGGACGTGAACAGCCCCCGGAGGGCGCCACGGCGAAGGCACAGCGGCCCCACTCCCGGTGCGCGGGCCGGGCAGAGCGCGCGGGGCGGGGACGCCGCGGAGGCGGCGCGGGGCGCGCGCGCCCCATCCGAGGGGGGCGCTGTCCGAGGGCTCGCGCGCGGGCGCGCGCTCTGGGAGTGGTCGCCGGGGGAGGTGGGCGGGGCGGCGGCGGCGCGCGGACGCCGAGCTCGGCGAGGCTGCGGCTCGGTCAGCTGCGCGAGGGCGGCAGCCGCGGTGTCCCCGGACCTCGGTCGCTGGCGACTACTCTGAGGCGTGAGAGCTGCGTGTCCCGCACCGCCGGCTGGTGTGGCGCGGCCGCCCGGAACGAGGCGGACTTTCCCCCGGGGTTGCGCGACAGAGCTGCCGCTGTGCGGGCAATCATGGGCTGCACGCTGAGCGCCGAGGACAAGGCGGCGGTGGAGCGGAGCAAGATGATCGACCGCAACCTGCGTGAGGATGGCGAGAAGGCGGCGCGCGAGGTCAAGCTGCTGCTGCTCGGTGAGCGCGGCGGGCGCGCGGCGCGGCTGAGGGGGAGTCTGCGGGGCGCGGGGCCCCCGCACGGGAGCGGCCGCAGGCGGCCGAGGGCGCGTCAGCTCTTTTCTGTGGAAGTTTCGCGCAGCCTGCCGGGGATGGAGGGCGCGTTCGTGATCCGAAAGCTCCGAAGCGTGGGCTTGCGGTTGTGGCGCGGCCCCAGAGGGCCCCGGTCAAGGGGCGGGCGGCGCGGTTGTTTCTGTGCCGGTCTTGCGAGTTTAACGTCCCGCGAGTTTAAAGGGAGCCACGGATCTCTCGAGGTTCCCTCGCGTGAATGGGGGAGGGGGGTAACGGGCAGCGCCGGAGGCTGGGTTTTTCTGCCCGAAACCAGCAGAGTCGGGGCGTCCTGCGCTCCGGAGCGGCCGAGGCGGGTGCCTCAGTTTCCCTGGAGTGGGCCCCTTGCCGGGTGCACGCAGGGGGCCAGTGTCTCCTCTCCAGGGCCCTGCCCCTGTGGCTCAGCGCTGCTCCGAGGTCTCTCCCAGTTGTTAGAAATGGGGAAAAGAAAATGCAAAGAGTAAAGGCAGGGTTTTGCCTGGGGGGTGCGCGAGGGAAGTGCCCATAGCCAGAGGTTGATTTCCCTCCCCCCCTCGAATCCGGGAGTTAGGGTTTCCTTTTGTTTGCTGCTTTTCCTTTCACACTCTATAGGGCATTCTGGTTGCTGAATGATTTTCAGGCTCTCCATTTGCACTTTGGGCTGTGGCTTGTGTTTATTTTCCCAACAGTTACAATACAAAGGAGATGCTCAGGAAGATTCGGCTTGGTGGGTTTCATGACTGCAGGAAAAATGGTGTGTGTCTGTGTGTGTGTGTGTGTGTGTGTGTCCGTGACTAGTAGGCTCAGAAGCGGCAGCAAACTTGGCATGACTGAAAGTAATGATGATCTGAGTCATTTTGCAAGCAAACTGTAACACAACTTTGCACTGTAAACGCTTGGGTGGCTTGATTCACCTTCCCACCTCCGACGTCGATCTGTCTCGGCTAATACTGCCACCTAAGTTTTTCATTAATAAGAAATAACTGCATTTGGGTGAAGTCAGTGCCCTTTTTAGTGTGTAGACGGTGGAAGACACAACTTGATACCCACCCATGTGGATGGCCCTCTGGTAAACGGCATGTGTTTCAGACAACGTGAAATACAAGGGTTACCAAAGTTCTTTGCCCGCCATTCCTGCCTTCCTGTCGTGATGTGCATTTCTGCGTGACTCCTCACCGGAGCCAGCCATCCACCATGTTTGAAGCCATGGAAAAAGAAGTCCTCTGGAGGTGGTGTTTTATCCCTCTGATGAGATGACGATTTGAGAGAGGCAGGGTGGGATGAAAGTGTGAGTCGTTTTGGTTTACACTTGCAGAGATGAGTGTTTCCTAACCTTTGGGCAAAGGGAGGTATTCTGGGCACGCGGGTTCTTTGTTGTGCAGGCTGTGTTGTGCACTGTGGGATGGTTAGCAGGGTCTTTGGTTTCTTCCGGGTCCATCTCCATCGCTGACCCCTCAAGTGTCTCCAGAGGCTGCCAGACCTCTCCTGGGGAAAACATTTAACCTGTAGGGAACCAGGGTTCTAGACGAACAGTGTGATCTAGTTGAAAGTGTCATATGGAACTAAAAGTTAAATCTCTACAGCCATTTGTGTAGAGCTAAGAGAGAGGTGGAGCGGAGTCTTGATTTTCAGAAGCAATGATGGAATTCTTCTCCATACCAGTAAACATTAGAAAGATTTCAAATGATTTTTCAAAATCTTTAGGAAATGCCTTTTGAAGAATTCAGCTCTTTTCCTAGCTGTGCTCTTTTGCTTTTCCCTACATCTCTTCTTTCTGCAGAAATCCTGCTCCATTCCTCTCTTGTCCTTCCTTGTTGGCCCAGACTCTTCCTTGTCTGTCTTACCCCTACTGTATCCCCTCTCCCAGAGTTCCAACACCCTAGTTCCCATAGACAGTTCATAAATCTGATTTCTTGGAATGCTTGAATTTTTCCCCCTACTTTGGCTTTAGTTGTGAATTATGGCCTTTGATTCTTTTCTTGAATGTTTAAAGTACATGTGTAAGCAGCTCAATGAAATCATCATGTCTGAAACACAGCAACTGAATCGACTAGATATGGAGGATGGTTTCTAGGTAACTATAACCAGTGCCGCGTACGTTTACATCAGGTCTTCTTCAGTTATTCTGTTTTTCTCATCAAATGATTTTTTTTAAAGAAAGTACATTTAAGGCAGTGGATTATGACGTTTATTATATTTATTTTTTCTTAAGGAATGCATTGCTTTTTTAGAAACCTGGGCTTGGAGATTCAGGCGTGAGGCTTGTCCATTATTGGTAAAGATTTTGGTCCTGCTTGTCTAATATTACAAATTTAAATAGAAAGTATTTTTCTGTGCTAACTGGGAGCAGGGGATTGGGTTTTTAAAAAGAGAGGACCTCATCTAATCACCCACCTGAAGGAAACGAGGTCAGGATTTGAGTGGTAAAAGTCTTTTAGGTATAATTCCCAGGCTTTAGTATTAGAATAATAATTTTAAGTGGATAAACTTACTTTAATGGATCCAATAGTAATGAAAGTTTTCTTTCCATTATATATGGCTAATTTTAGGGGGAGGAGGGAGAGAGTGGAGAATATCTTTTATTGTTGCATCTTTGAGAATGTTACAATTTAGTATCTTTTAAGGTAGGATCATTAGGCCTACAATGTTTTTCAGCAGGACTATAGTGTCCTAATGGTACTTATTAGATATTATTTTATTGAAGATACAAGAAGTTAGATTATATAAAAATAGAATTTTCATGCAGTAAAGGTTTCTGAATCATTTCACTCCAAAGCTTTCAGCCTTACTCTCTCTTATTCCAGAACACTATTTTTCCTGCACTCTGCCCTCTCCCATTAAAAACAGATCAGCAAACAAAACTCCACACCCTTACCTCCTGCTTTAGTTTGATTGAAATATTACAGGTGTGGATGAAAATGAGATGAGGGATTGGATCTCTTCTGTTTGTTGGATATTTTTCCATTGCTACCACCACCCAGCTATTTGGGATTCTTCCTCATTAATCTTTTTTACTCCCTTTGAACTTGGCCTGTGACTTCCCCAGTTGAGAAATTCTGGTATCACAGAACTTTTCATTTTTGCATTGCTGTAGCTATTTCCTTGAATTGGCTCAGGATCTTGGATGTCAAAGAGCCCATATCCTTGAATAATTGGTGCTAGTGTTGCGTGCTCCTCTCACAGGTCTACTTTATATTAGAAATAACAAAGTATTCTTTGAGAGTGCTGATTTTTCTGTATCTTCTGTTTTCTCCTTCTCACATTCATTGTCAAGTCCTTTTGCCTCCAGTAACTTAAATCTAGTAGGATTTCCTGTTTCTGGTCTTTCCTTCTATCCTGTCCTTCTTTCCAGAGGTACTTTCTTTGTTCAGAAACCTTTGTGGACTTCCCCATTGCCTGCAGAATAAAAACTTTGTTGTGGACAAGGCTTCCCTCTGTCTTTCCAGACTGTTCCTTGGATGACTCCTTCCTCCACTTGGTGTATACCGCATCGTGTTGTATTTTCACTTCCTTTCTAGTGTTGTTTAGCTTTGTGCCTGTTTCCCTACTACTGTGAGCTCCTTGGGAGGCAGAATCTTTGTAACTTATCTTTGTGTTCCTAACAACACTTCTCATTTGTTGTGTGTAAAATGAGTTCTTAATTATGTGGAATTATTGTCTTGCTGGGATGTAAACATTATGCCCTGCCATTTTCAGTATGGATGATAGTAAATAACTACCCAGGCAAATAATGTAAACAAGAAAGGGTCATGAAAGGAAGAGATGTACAAAATAAAGGCATCTAAAATAAAATTATTTGATATATATTTTTCACATGTATAAGAGCTTTTCACAGTCATATTATTTGATAAATTATATCTAATTTCCAATTTTTGTCTTTGCCCTCTTTTAATCATACAAAAGAACCAGAATCCCATCATACAGAGTTAAGTAGATGTCATATTAACCTGGAAAAGAGGGCTGTAATTTCTTAAGTGAAAATAGAATATCCAACCACCAACTTAATTTTTATTTTGTTAGCATTTCTCAGCACCTTGAAAGATTTAAGATGGAACAGATTCCTGTGGGAGGACCTGAGTGTGTTGGCCACATTTCTAGGTCACGCATTCTGGCACACAATTACCCAATGTGTGACTACCCAGAGTATGACGTTGGTGAAGTTCACATCCCTGGTGGAGTTAAGCCTTAGGGACTAAAGTCAACTCTATCCCATCTCATAGTACTTAGGCTGCTTTTTGGTTGTAGCTTGTTAAATGCTAATTAAAAACCTTAGCAGAAATAGGGCAAACATTGCTTTCAAATGAATGTTCATTGCCAGCAATTTCGTGCCTTACCAACAACACAGAGTTTATTGTCATACAGGTCTGCAGGTCATAAGTCCAAAAAGCATCTCCACGAGGCTAAAATTAGGGTGTCAGCTGGGCTGCTTCTGGAGATGACAGAGGAGAGTCCATTTCCTGTCTCTCCAGCCTCTGTCTGAGGATTGTCTGCATTCCTTGGTTCATGGTGCTTTTCTCCATCTTCAGAGCCAGCAGTGGCTGCCGGAATGGTTCTCATGTGACAACACTGCTCTGCATCCCTCCCCTATTTCTAAGCACCTCTGTGATGACCTCAGGCCCACTCACACAATCCAAGGTGACTGCCCTATTTCAGGATCCTTCACCTCATCACACCTACTGAGTTTGTTTTGTCGTGGAAAGTGACACATCCCCAGCTTACAGGGGCTGTTATTCTGTCTACCCTGACCCCCAATGATTTGTATCTATCCTATCTATATGTAAAATGTGTTCACCTCTTCTTGACATCTCCAAACGTCTCAACCCATGATGCCACTCACTTAGATTCTGGAATATCACCCAGAGGCCATGATCTGACTCTGGAAGGGGTGAGCAGTCTATGGCCATACCAGACGCACCCAATCTCGTCTGATCTCT